AAAGTTCCTTTTCCCAAGTGCTTACAACAGTCTTTAATTCTAGAAAACGACTTCATTAATGTCCCAGAGTATTGAGATTCTATAAGAAGTCCTTCAATTACTCCCATTCCTGTCAATCAGTGGTTTTAAACTATGGAAAAAATGCAACTCCTTGAACTCATGATACAGATATAAGGAACTGTGTGTCACTCATTCCCAGCATCAAAAAATCATCCAGACCCCTGAGGTGTCTGAGAAATTTGCCACTGGGTCCAGCTGTTGAAGATTTTACTCTAGCTAAGTTTTGTATCTTTGTATTCAAAGATATTTAGAGTCCAGATATGGGAGCTGTCACAGAGCAGGTGAGTTTTGCTGTCAAACACCTGTCAGCAGACCCTGTATAAGAATCACAGCACTACTTTTGCTCCTGAAGTTCCTAACCTGCTATCTGCAAGATTAAAACTGGGTTTTTTGTAGGTAAAACTGATCTGAGAAATTTGAATGTGTTGGGCAGGCTTATAGAAAGTCACAGGGTGGGGTTTGACTGTCCTTTTGAATGCTGAACACATGTAAAGGATGTTTCTCACTCATGTGGCAGCATCCTTGCATTCTGCTCACAGACAGGATTTCAGGTGAGCTGTGCTCTTGAAAACCTGCTGACAGCTCAGAATGTGGACCCTCTGAAAATTCTCTGACCCATCCTGTATTTATTTAAGCTAGTCTAAAATTAAACTAAACTAAACCTGGCTTACAAGATAAGCTAGTTTTAAGTAAGCTTATTCTAGAGTGAAGCTGCTGTGTAGAAAGGATTAGTCTAAATCTTAAGTAATCATAACTTTATTCTATGGGGGTGGCACAATGAGGAAATAAATTTCTTTTGAAAAGTTAGTCTTTAGGTAAAAATCTAATGTATGATGGAAGAAGGAAGACAGGGCAAGAGAATGGGATGAAAGAAAGACTTCAGAAATTTTAAATCCAGTTTCAGCGAGCTAAATGTCCAGGCAGGGTAAGTCTTGTTATTGAAGGCAAGATGCAGTGGCAGAAGAGGTGGCAATGCACTGAACACAGAATCCTGTTGCTCCCTGTGCTCAAATGACACGCAAGAGGCACCTTCGTGTCCTCAGCACTTTCAAGGCACAACTCATGGCTTGATGAGCAACTTGTGATTGCTGCAGTGTCCTGGACTGCAGCATGTGTGCAGGCAGTGATTTGGTGGCCTGTGAGAATGGTTAGGGATGATTCACCACCACCTCACTAAAAATAAGTGCAGTATTTAAAGCAGAAAGAGAGGCTTAAAATGGTAAGTGCTGCAGGTGCAGCTTTTAAGCATACAGGCATTTGCAAATTGAAAATAAAGAGCCCTGTTTGTGCCATGGAATTGGGAAATCACAAATGGGCACTTCTTCAGTCTACCTGCATTAACACATAAATATGTTGTTACACCTGTCCTGCAGACAATGTGTAATTCTGTAAGAACAGATACAGGGCTGCATTTATTGGTATGTTCAAATGAAGTATTTCACATTCAGGGTAAAAGCTAAAATGTTATATTCTGCCATGTTTATGAAGCTGGTTTGGTTAAAGGCAGCTGTATTTCTCCTTGTATGGTTTTTGATTCCCAAATGTGTGTAGGTCTCGTCTGTAGAAGAAAACATTCTTTGTTGTTGTGCTGTTATTGTGTAGTACCAACAGGTTTGCTGACTTTGACAATGAAGGCAACCTACGCTAACAGATGAAGAGCTGAACTCACCTCCTATTTGGTGACAACCAGTTTCTGTAACTGTAAATCTAGTATGAAAGTCAAAGCATTTTTAACTTCTAGAGCTGATATAAAAATTCTGTGCTGTTTTTCAAATCAACTGAAACTAGTTCAGACTGCCCTATATACCACTTGTCATTACTTATTTAATTAGAAATTTGTACATCCAAGAGCATTTCTATGCAGAGTGGCAAGTGTTCAAGCCTGACTCATTTTCTAAATATATCAGATATGAACCCCCTCTATGTTCAAAATCTTTTAAGTGTCAACTTTTGAGGGTCAAATTATTCTCTTTCTTTCAGCACCTTCCTTCAGCAACACAAAGCCTGTGTTTGCCTCAGACATCCACAAGTGCCTTGTCCTGACTGTGGAGTCCCTGCCCTAATGGGGCTCTGGGGAATATCAGCCTCATTCTCAGGTTGTCTGTCAGGATGAACTGGACAAAACCCTGCTTTTTTGTAGTGTGGTTTTAAGTCAGGGCAAGTGGTGCCAGAGCCAAATGCAATTTCTCTTGCCTGCATTCACCTCTCACAGCTCTACTGAGGTCCCACTACCAGTGGCCAGAATTGGGATATGTCCCTCTTATGGTTCCTCTCTGGCACTGGATTTCCCATGGAGCTAGGAACCTGGAAAAAGTTACAGTGCTGCCAGTGATACCTGGAGTCTGGCATCACTGTCATACCATGGTATTACATCCAAACATGTTGGTTGTTAAAGAAAAATTTTAGCAAGGATTTTACTAAACTCAGTGTACAGTACCAGTTTTTGAAGTTTGCTTACTCAAGTGTGAAATACTAAAGATCACTGTAAATCATTTGGCAAGTAAGGAAGTTATTTTTTGCCATATTTTTAATATATTTTCCTTCTTATCTTTCAGTAGAATGGCTGCAATCCTGACTCATTCTAATGGATCTGAATAAAACTCTGAATAACCTATCACACTTCAAACTACTGTTTGGATGAAGTAGTTTTTTTAGCTATATACTCCTGCATAATTGAGTACCTGAAAAGATTTTTCCTTTTTAAAAACTTTTTTTTTGGTACAAATGACTATTGTTAAAGAAAAAATTAATGAAAACTTGTTCTTTTCAGTGTCCCTTGGTGAATCATAAATAAAAGTAGTTTTAACATCCTCAAGAAAAAGTTAGGTTTAACAGCCTTTAACAAAGGACTTTTATGGAGAAGTGACATTTTTTTAACAGGGGTTAATGTATATATTAAAAAGAAAGCTCACCAAAGATCCGAGGTCTACGAGCGGGGAAAAAAAATGTTAGACTATAAGGTCAGGTTGTTCAGGCAAAGAAAGAAAAAAATTATATTCTTCAACAGAAAAGTAAAGAAGGTAAGCAAAATTACAAGATGCTTTAGTAGAAAAACTCAAGAGAATACTTAAGGTGTGTTCTCATAGAAATGGAATATTCAACCACTTGTAGTCAACAGAGTCAACAGAAACCAATTGTGTAAATTTAAGCAGTACTTGCTCAAGGACAAAAAGAAAGTGTCAGAAGATAACCACAACCACCCCTAATATATGTCTTTGAGAACATCCAAACACGTGTTAAACTACAGGGTAGACAGGCAAAAAAAAAAGCAGCAAAGCAAAACTGTGTGTTAGTCTTTTTCTGAAAGGATGCTACCAGAAGAGTTCATTTCTCCATTTAATAAACTCGTAGAATCAAAAGGGAAAATTATACACAAGAGGAAGGGACTGAAAAGAAAAAAGGCTGAAAAACTAACACAAAATAAAGGCTCCCCTCCCATTTGATTTAGCTTCTGTGCCAGGAAACAGCAGGAAACCCAGGATTTATCATCATGGCAAACTGTCACTCTGTGAGCAGGGCCTGAGCACAAGGCTAAAGCTCTCCTGCAGTTCCTGTGCTTGATGGGCACTGTGGCTACAAATCTGGGATAAAAGGGAGAGCCAGGTCTCTGCAAACACAGAACCTGCCCTCCAACTCTTCTGCAAAACTGTGTCCTGTTCACCCCTGAAGCTCTGAGAATCTGGGGCTTGGACACAGTTGTGTTCCCAGTGTTTTAGACACAGCAGGTCCAGCAGCAGCTCCTCCCACGTGTGTTGTCCTGAGGATGACTCTGTTGGTCTGCATGTGGGGGGTTCCCAAGGGAGAGGCAACAGCTGGCCCTTTACTGGGCAGCAGTTGCATCTCCACTGATGCTATTTTTCCTGGAATAATACATATTGAAAGAGATTGTCCCAGAGTAAACCATTATCCAGTATTATAAACCCTTAGAAGGCTTCAGTTGGGTGTTAATAGAAGTGACAAGCACTTGGAGAAGTAATTTAATTGTCTACACAAAGTTACATATAGATATGAGTAAACAGGGTGTGTGGGAGTAAAGATTTAAGCAAGAATAATATTTACAGTAACTAGAGATAACATTACTAATGTACCCACAAATAGAAGTATATATTTATATATTTATATATTGTACTTAATTTGATGCTCTCTTAATGGAAAGAAAAACAAGATGACTAGTGTTGTTGCTCATTTCTCACATATCCTATTGTAAATGTCTTTAAAGGGACTGACTGATGCATGGAAATTCAGAGCAAAATCTGTTTCAATTAAGTAATTGACAGTGGCAGACCTCTGAAGAAGTTTAGAAGAGGATAGATAAAAACATTAGGATATTAGGGCATGGGACTCAATCTCATGTAATTAATAAAATAAAATCATACTTTTTTTTTTCTTCTTTTTTTTCCTTTTTGATTTCTACTTGAACAGAGGTTCCACCAAGCCACAAATGAGAAATAACAAAATTTAGATTGTTTTGTTTTCTTCTAAAGATTCAAATATAAACTTCAAGTGCAATTCAAAATCCAAGTATTATTTCTACTACATACTTCTTTATATAACAGAACTTATCTGCAGGTAGTTTAATATTTGACTAGATTCCTCCTTTTTTGACAAAAGTTATTGTTGATGAAAAATAAAAAGCTGGAAAGAGTATTTTTACATAGTGAGATTTCAGATGAAAAGTGAGGATACATTAGTGCAGACACAAATTTGGATCTACAACTAGATGTATTCAGAGATGCATAATTTCTTTTTTTTTCTTTGTAGTAAGAATCCCATTCTGAACATTAACTTTTAACAATTACAAAACATTACAGGTGTTCTTTGTTAACAATTGTGAACAAAGTCTGCAAAAAAGAGCTTTCAAATTAGCAAATGATTCTACTATGGAGGAAAGACAATAATTGACAGAAATGCAAAGTAACCAAAAATTGAATACCACTAGACTATTTGTATGGTCGTAGAAACCTGGAAACTTTTGATCGCAGTAGCTTTATAAATGATCTTGGAAACATTTCTTTTGACTCTTGTGCTGTGTACTTGAAGTAGTTTTGAGGGTGTGCCAGTACATCAAAGAGAGCTTTAATAAGTTTCTTGTCCTATGGAAGACAACATAGATATGTTAGATAAAAGCAAGGTTTGGATTTAGTGTCTGCATAGGTTTCAAAACTGAAGAACAATCAGGTCTGTTTTGCAAAACTTGAGTCTGGATAGAAGAGTGTAAGGAAACTGCTCCACGTTGCAGTGGAGTTTCAGAGAGATGAGTCTGCCTGCTGTGCTGGATGCTTTTTGCAGGGCTCCTGGTAGGAGCACTAACTACAAACTGCAGATATCTGCATTAGAACTGCAAGCTGCCTCTATTGTCTTTCTGACCTGTTCCATGCTGCTGTCCAGGCCTTCCTTCCATGGATGGAAGATAAGGCTGGTCCTCAGGGATGCTGAGCTTTCTAAGGACCTCCTGTACCTTGAGAAAGTCTTGATTCAGAGCCTCAGCACAGTGCCTGTGCCTGGCACTGTGCACTGCAGCTGGGACCTGAGCAACCCAAAAGCTGGAGGAAGAGAACAGTGCTTGGCAGAGATGGCCAAGGGGAGCTAGCTCTTCCTCATCTCCTGTCCTTCCAAGCCCTACATTTACATGGTTCAATTTTGCCCTCTGACCAACCTTTTTTTCAGTTTTAATTAGGTAGTTGTTACAGGTGTTGCTTGTATCTTTGGAAAACCATTTATTTTTGAGGCAAGATAGTGATTTAGGTAAATACATTCTTTAATGCACAGCAAACTTAATGAGTCATTTAAACATTTAAATGCCAGACCTAGGCTGAAGAAGGCTTTTCAAACAATAGGTCCTTCATTCTTGGCTGGCTAATTTTCTGAACATACAATCTTATGAATCATATTAACATCTATTTCATTTAGTTCCTGATTCCACAAAGGACATAAGCATGTCCTGAGCCCAGCTTAGTTACTTGATTTTGGGCTGCTTCAAATACCAGCATAAACCTCAGAACACAGAGAACTGAATTTGGGATCACCCTTGAGTTTTAAATATAATGACTGTATCAAGGTATTGAGAACTATTTTAGGAAAATGCTTAGGGAAAGGGATTCTTGATTGGCCTCAAAGAAAGCAGAAATTTCTTACCTTTAGAATTTCTTGATGGTTTTCTGATGCATACAACCTGCCATCTCGAACAATGTCTTCTATTAGTTGTTGATAATCCTCTGAAAAATAAAGATCAGATGAGTGACTGGGACATCCTTTGGGAGGGCAATAGTCAGACATGTGCTAGACCTCCTCTTGAAGACAGAGCTGAGAAATTTTGTATCCAGTAAATTACTCAGTGTCTCTCAGGTACCTGTATTCTAATTTAATCACCTTAAAATTCTCTATTTCTTTATAACAGTGGTTTTGAATTATCCCTATAAATACTTACATCCTCAAAAAACTACTCTCTCCAGATAATAATGCTGTATTATCTCCACTCTAGAGATGAAGAAACAGGAATACAAAATAACTTTTCAAACATTATGTATGCTATATGTATATTATTTCAAAGTCTTTGCAACTAAAATTAAATGAGGTGCATAAGGTTTTTCCTCATTCTTCTATCCCTGCAAGCAGTGTAAGAGAGATTCTAAAGGAAAATTTTCTCTAATTCAGATATAACACAAAGATGAAAACCAATTCCATTCTCACCATCGTAAGTCACATAGGGGACCTGAAATCCTTTGCCACTGTTTCCTTCATTCGACTTGAATTGAATCCAGAGTTTCCTTGATCTTGAGGTAAATGCAATAGGTCTCTCATAGGTTTGACATGTTTCATAAGTAGTAATTGAAGTAGGAGAAGCTAAAAATAAAGTTAAATGGTGTTCTTTATATAATAATTCTTGCACCCTTCCTCATCTAGGGGTCAGAGATGTCAAATTGACAAGACACTTCTCAGGTGACATATTCCTGACAGCAGAAACTTTTTGTGACAGAACGGATGTTGTCCTTATTTGCCTATAAAGAGAAGTAGGTTTTTCCATAGAGGTATAATTTTTGATGTTTAAAACTTCTATCAATATTAATTTTTTTTTTTTTACTACTCTAGCATTGTATCCCAGAGTGCCCATATGCTTGTCCCAGACAGGTAACGACAAGTGAGCTGCATGCCAGGCAGACATGGTAGCCAGCCCCTCCTCACATGGCCAGTTTGGGGAGCTCATCTGATACCAACAAACCATTTATAAACAGAAAGACAATAAAACCAGAATGTGACGTTTGGCATGGTAATTCTGAAGAAAAGACTGTCATACCCTGCAGAGTCAGTGATCCACAGAAGAATTAACCTGGATGTGAGGAGGTGGTTGGTGACAGCCAGCACAGCTTGGCTAAGGGCAAATCATGCCTGAAGTGTAACTTTACCCTGATGTGACTGGCTTTGGTCACTGTAGGAACCACAATTTGGGGTCAGAAGGACAACTGATGTGTTTTGTTATAATAAGTGCTTTCCTTTTAAAAAAGCTCATCTGCACAGGTATAATTTTCCTTTCATCTATAGTAACCAGGTGTCTTCCTTCTGATATACAGAGATGTCAGTACAGGCCCTCAGGGATAAAAAAATTGTTCTAGCAAATAAAAGACACCATTTTTTTGAGTAAATACACTGTTTTGAACAAAAACTCCATATGAACAATTGCTTTTCAGGTTTGGTGCCTCTTGATATAGCAACAAATCACCAGAAGGATGCCAACATTCTCCAATGCAAAAGAAGAGTGCATTTCATCTGGATCTCAACTTTAGAAGTTGTTGAATTAAATTCATAATCAAAGGCACAGTGCACCCCCTCCAATCCACAGAAAAGCAGGGTAACTTTGGATTTCTTGAGGGTGTCAGTTGTACCAACACACTGCCCAGATTTAGCAATAACTGCAGCATATATATATATACATTTACAAAAGATAAGTGGGAGCACAGTTTGTACAGATTACAGAGATAGTTCTCCAAATATAATTTATCATTGTTGACTTCTAGAATGGCAGTGATTTAGCCCATGTGGTAACTGGGCCAGACAGAAGTCCATTAACTGCTTTGTGATTCAGACAATAAACTTGAATAATAAATATCACACCACTAACTGTTATTGGTAGTGTTCTAACTTGCTGTGCCACTTCATTCAAGAAACCTTTTAGAAACACTGGCTACACTGAAGACAGTCGTCCCTTCAATATGAACTATTCACTCCATGAGTTTTCAGGAAATATAGCCCATGTCTGGCAACTTACCACTTTTTCTCATTACTAAAACATCTCCACATTCATCTTCAATTGGGAGAAATATCTCAGGTACTACGATGAGTATTCTTCTCTTTGGGGGTGGATTTATATTCCAAATGCATTCCACATTAGCTGGGTAGTCTCCAGGATAGTTGGGCGATTCAATGTAGCCAGTGTAGTCCCCTAGTTCTCCTCCACAGTGCTGGTCTGGGGAGAAAGGTAAATTAGTATCTGTGTTAGTTGATAAATTAATCTGAGGTGTTTTTCTGGATCTGTCATGAGCAAGCCTAAACTCCTTCTTGTGGCTTTAGAAATGAACACATTCTCCAGCTTTAAAGGAATATTTGATCCACAAGGTTGCTCCAGCTGATGCAAAACCTTCATCTCCAGTGCATGAATTGATTCAATGCTTCATTCCAGGATGCTTTAACTTTGCTTGAGAAATGCAAGTAAATAAACATGATCTAGTTGTGGTCACCATGGATACTGTGCTCACATGCAGAAGACATTCTGCTTTAACTTACCTGGTTTTTAATTGGCTTTACCTGAATGAGAGTGCTGGTCTCAACAGCCTGCCTTACTTAATTACAGATCTGCCTTGCTTCATCTTAGATTAAACCACTTAATAAAGGATCTCCATTGAGAGATCAGTTTTTCTTTCTGAGTTTTCAAAATCATATTGAATTTGGCACAAGTTACTTAAGTTTGATCTCCCCAGGCCTACTCATCCACATAAAATTAGATATATGTTTAAACATTTTTCTTAATCCAACCCCCAAATAGTATGCAAGGTCAGAAACTGGCTTGAAAACTGAGCTGACCTAAGACAGCAGAGTAACAAGGGTGGTTTTATTTTACAGGAAAATCAGCAAACTTCTTCAAATTCCATACAAATATATAGTTTACTCAAATGACATTAGAAATTATGAAGGGCTTATAAAATACATGGCACATAATCAGACTAAAAACTTACAGGAGATCTGCACACGAATAGTCAGTCAGATGACATTGCTTAATTATTATAGGAACATTCTCTCGAATTAGCATGGTAGAGATGAAAATAAAAAGCTTGCCTAAAGTAACCAGTCATTCACAAAGGATCAAATAAAACTGCACTGAAATCCTTGGGGATATTTAAAATTTTTAAGATAGGAGGCTGAGTACTGCAAAAAAGCCAACAAGAAGAACTCACTATCATAAGCGATACCTGGCAAGTGCAGCATGCATGACCATATCTTCTGACATTTTACAATTATTCTAAAATGGCAGTTACTCTGATAGAAGATATCCTGCTCTACAGAGACATATAGAAATATGCATCACTGTTACACAACTTACAGGATCTAGGAATTTAAAGGCTCTGTAGTTTTAACTTGTAGCTGGAACACTGTGAAATCATATTAAATCTAATACACTCATATGCCTCAAGTGGTACTGTCCCAACTTTTTTTCCTAATTGTTTTCCCAACTTTTACTCTTCCCTCTGGCAGCAGATATTTGCTAAATAGGAAATACAAATCTGAAGTCCAGCCTGACAGATGCAACCTTTGAGCTGCAGTTCAGATGCAAAGACACGCTCTGTGTCACTGATATAAATGTGACTTACTTTTGCAATGCGTGACATTGGTGGAGCCATCAAAATCTGTACTGGTGTTGCCAGGGCAGGTGATGCAGTAGTTCTGACCAAACTCAGGCTGGTATGTTCCCACAGGGCACCGGATACATCTGTGTGTTGTGGAGTTGTAGTAGTGTCCAGGAGAACAGTGAACTGCAAGGTAGGAGGTGTATTATTTTCAAAAAGTACCAACCTCCAGTGCAGAGAGCTTTCCTCTGGTCTGCACACCTGGTCTGAAACATTCTTATTAGGCCATAAATGGCAGAAAAGACACCAACTCCCTGTATTTCCCAGTATAAAGAATCTTGCAACTAAAACCCAGAGCAAAACCCTTACGAACTAGAAATATGTGATACGTATCTCTCACTGTATTTTATATATTTGTAATAAATGGAAGTGATGTAAATCCACCTCAACAAGAAAAATTGCATTCACAGTAGCAGGAGAGAGGTTTCCATTAGTGTCTGTTTGCCAGGGCCAGCATGTAATTTCAGTAACTAAACCAAAATGCATTTGGGCAGATTCCTTCTTCAGCATTGGCACTGGAAGTTGACATTATGGAATACAGAATGCATTGCACCCTTACAGTTTCTGCCTAGCCCATGAGTAATCCTTAATTTTGTATAACTTTTGTAGTGCTTAGTTATTGTGATACAGAAAATAAAAAAATACAGGACATGAAAGTGAAAGCATTGTCTAATCCACGTTTGTGTTATTTATTGCCACACAGTGGGGCTGATTCCCTTACCAGTAGCAGTGCTGACCCCCTGCCTGCCTGTGGTAAATTCCAAAGAAAACCATAAATCCTGTTCGATCTGCACAACCTCGGGAGACCATTCCTAGTTTACAGATTTCTTGACCATTTCATTTAATCACACACCCATGCAGCAACAACGTTTGATTTGGAGCCTTCAAGAGTCCCTTGACACTGCTGATAAACAACCAAAGGCCCAGAAGTAGGAAGATGAATTGTGGATGCATTTTGAATTCACCTTTGGTTTCACAGTCTTGAAAGGAAACAGCACCTTCGTATTTGGTCACAAGCCCACCGCCACAGGGAAAGCAGAGGGTCCTTCCTGGTTCAGGCTGATAGGTACCAAGAGGACAGACTGTACAAGGTTTAAAACCATCTGAAGAGTAGTGCCCAGGAGAACACTGCCCTAGAAATTGAAAATGATCATCTGTATTAGTGTGTTGACTTTTCTGGATGAAGTATAAAACCCACAAGTAGTTAGCAAGGCTTTCTTTCACTTAATCATGTGACATCAAGACAGCTGCAGATTAAATTCTAATCTTACCTGCATATTTTGTATTGTTTCTGTATCTTCTTCCTAAAACCACCACCAGTAAATAGAACCAGTTTCATAATATGCTTTTTGGCAACTATGCTTCTGTTAGGATTTTTTTTTTTTTTAAGAAAGGGGTCTATCAAGATTTCATTAGAATACTTTGTACTTTCACCAATTCTTTCATATCAGTATTTCAAAGCACTTTATAGGAAGAAATGGAACTGAATCATGCCTATGAAGCAAGTTTTTGTACCTCCAAGTTAGAGATGTGGACAGTGAATCATGGGGTTTACCAGATGGGATGGTAGCAATCCAGCACCTTGTCTATGAGAATACCTAACACCAACAGCTTTTCACGTAGTTGTGAAAACTAGTGCTTGTCAGGTGCTCCTCTGCCAGAAAAAAGAGATTTGTGTAAAGCAAATTGCTTTGTGAATAATATACTGACAGAAGTTTCCAAACTGGCTCTCCAGGCAGTTTCTGATAGACATCTGTTTGGCTTGGTTCTTGTTAGCTTGAGTGCTTTCCTCTGTGAACCTGAGAACCAGGATGTCAGGTTTTTCAAGCTGTGGCATGAATTTGTATCATCATACCACTCCAGACTGGACACCAGCACTGTGAGATGCTACATATTCCCTGAGGTTGCCTAATCCCAGTACTTTGTAATTTAGCTTCCCTGAGAATTGAACATCAGACAGAAACAACTGGCTTGAAAAGAAGAGAGTTTTAAGAGCTCTAGGTATTGCTGCAGTCTCATAAGAACCTGATACTTGCTGGGAAATGTTTGGGGCATTCAGTATTTTGGGTGCTTGGCATAAGTGAGGAACTGTGGTACTCAGGATGAACTAGAGCTCCTGAGTGAAAGCCAAGTTCAAGTTCTGTCCCCACAAAAGCCAAACTCCTATGGATACTTGTGGGGCCAGGATCCCCAGGATTTCCTTGTGCTCCCATCCCAGCTGGCTGGAATATGACCATACAAACTGGCTATTGTGACACAGATCTCAGAGAAATATTATGATATTACTAATTTGAGGACAATTTTGCTCTTGTTATTAAAAGCAAAACTGATCGATGTGGTCTGGTCCAACTGGTTACTGGAACCCAGACTGGAACATGTTTCCTGGTAGGATTTGTGACCCTTGTGGGGGACCCATGCTGGAGCAGGCTGTGCCTGAAGTACTGACCCTCTGGAAAAGTGACTTATATTGGAGAACTCTTGCCCATGAGATGGGGTCACATTGGAGAAGCTAATGAAGCCTCCTGTGGGAGGGGCCCCATGCTGTATTAGACTCATTAGACTATTATAATGAGCAGGCTCATTATTAGACTCACCAACACCAGTCCAAAGCAATCCATCCCTTTGGCTCACAATACACTAAGTCCTTACAAGTCAAGGTACTCCCATACCTGAGGTGAAGCACAAAGTGCTTTGCTTGGCTTGCTCATTTCCATCCCACAACTCACACTGCTGTAGCAGATCCCATCATCTTGTCAGCAATGGGAGCACGGATGGCCCGAGCCATACCATCCATTGCTTGTAAGTGCACAGAGATTTCTTCTATTACCTTTAGAAGCCAGAACTGTGGCAGGCTCTCTCCTCTTTCAGCCTCCTTACCTCACAGGGTGTGTATGGCAACACCTAAAGGTTTTATAATCAAGTTCAACTTGCCTCCACATTCTGAGATGTTCCGGGCGCCCGCTACTCCCTGGCCATCGTTGCTGGGGCAAGGCTCACAGGTGAGTTGGCCTTCTGTGTCCTGGTAGGTTCCTGGCAAGCATGGGACGCACTGGTTGTGTTCTCCGCTATAGAAGGTGCCCGTGCTGCAGGTAACTGAGGAAACAAAGGGGAAGCCTACATAAGGATGTTCACTTTCATCACATCATTTGCCCTAATATCGAACATTTAGAGAAGGTGGATGTCTTTGGCCCCAGGATTATGATGGCACATGTTTTGCATGTGTTAGTCCAGGATCCTTGCCTGATGTAAACAGACCCATCTCTAGTTGGGTTTAGGTCAATTTCTATCAGGGTGAGGTCCTGCTTCTAATGTTTAAACTATTAAATGGCTTTGTAGTGCACTCAGGTGTTTATCACACGTGTTGTTAATAAAGCTGGGTGCACTCTTGAAACAGTCTTGCAGTTCATTAAAGCAGTGCTGCATAAAATGTGGGAAGTGTAAGCTTTTAGTTTATACCAGGTTACAAGTTGGTTTTATGGCAGATGACTACAAAAAGTCTGTCCACTGAGATCAGTTCTAGAGATTTCTCCATGGGCAATGTGTCCCCTGTAATAGTTTCTGTAATAATTTCTGTCTCTTGCCACCCAAATACCCCAACTGATCAGCATCCTGAATACAAATATGAATACATATGCTTTTCTGGCTTCAACAGGACATGTAACTGCATTTCACGTTTTTCTCTGATGGGTAGGGGTGGTTAAAATGTCTGAGTTTCTAGATACTGATAGCAACAGCCTTTCAAATACAGTTTCTATATCATTCTTCCCATATGATGACAACTACCTCTGAACCCACTCACTGGAAGCACCTATCAGATGTGACCTCTTTTGGCTTGTAAATCGCTTCATATCTCAAAAGCTGCAAAAATAGGTATGCTGATTTTGAAAAGATGTCTGTAAGTGATTAGAAAACTTGCAGTACTGAGAACTACCATTAAAAAATTTGCATTATCACACTGTCCCCAGCAAAGCATTAGAGCCTGATAACATGGGAAGAGGCTTAAAGGAATTAGGGTTTTTTTTTTTAAACTGGACCTCTTGAGCATTAAATATAACATATCCATGGGTCATGGATTATTTGATGGTGAGGTGAGTGACACTGGGGATATAAAAGTAGATGTACAGCAACTATGCAAATATCATATTAATGTTTTACTGAATTGTAAATATATATAAATAGAAATAAATGTAAATATATTAAAATATAGAAATATAAATACATGTAAATATATTTTGGTAAGATGGGAGCAACTGGGAACTAACTGCCAACATTGTCTTGTGGCAGATTTTGATACCTGCCACCTGACAGCATGGGAATTTATCCAAATTTATACTTCTGTTTTCCCAGAACTATCTAATGAATTCCCTTCAGAGTCTTATGAACCATGCATAGTCCATGTATATATGCTGAGTAATACTGATAATTAAATTCTAAATCGTTATCTCAGAGATTTCCTCCCTGTTCACCATGGAAAAAGTAATTTCAGACTGCTTGATTTGGGGGATATGACTGAATATTTGAGCTCTTTGGACTTACCACATTTTCCATCCTGCAGTACTTGCCCTGTACTGCACACTTCATGCCCTTCAGTAGCTTTAGCTGGCTTCTGAGCCACTTCATATTCTGTCCCAGAAAACTGAATGTAAAATTGCTGTTTATTAATAGATTTCCTCAATGTTTTGATTGCAGTTTGCAGCTTCTGCTCCATCCTTTTCCGAACACAGTCAATGTTACAGGTGTCTAGATGGGAAATGATAACAAAACTAGAAGCACTTGAGATTCATGTTTAAAAGAGGTGCTTAACAAAAAGCTTAGCCTGCATTGCACTATGACATCTCTTTGTTTGTTTCACTGTCTTGTCCATACAAATTGAAGCAGCAGCTCACTGTATTCAAGATCAGGCATTTCAAAGGGACAGGACAGTATCCTGAACTCCATGGAGCAGTTCCATGGCCTGCAAGTGCATGCTGAATGCTGCAGAAAGCATTAATCCCAATATGTTCTCCTTTCAAGTGTGTGTTCAGTCTGCCACCATTAATGTCCCTGAATTTCCTCTGCTTATGCTTTTCTTAGTTGGTTAGGAACTCCTGCCACTTCCCTGACCAAAACACCTTTGAGTCGGTGACAAAAAGAAAGGTGCTTTCAGGCACAACTGCTGTTTGAACCACCTGGCTAATGAGGTGCTCCTCAAGATTAAGAAATCTGCCTTTGAGGACTGACATCTTTATAGGATTCAGTCCACATTTTCTTTGGCTGGAATTTATAACATAATATTCCATCTCATTTATAACTTGAGGCAATTAGTTTTATTCCAAATTTTGGTAAGAAAACATGAATTTTTCAACTGTGTGATAAAACTGTCTGATTTGCAGAGTAAATATTCAGCAACTTATATTTTAGAGGATATTTTTATCATCATTTTTGCAGAACTTCTTCTTAATCTTCATGTTTCCTGTACATCGATTAGCACTTCTGCTGTTTAAAGAAATCACACTGGATTAAAGCGCATGACTTAACTCAAGGTCTTGAAGGAATTTTAATGCAGGTTCAGTTTTTGTTCCTTTGGCTTAATTTCATGGCAGCTTGATGAAATAGCATCAAGGAGATTTTAACACCCTGAAGAACTAAATTCTGATTTCTCTCCACAGACCAATCTTTCACAAACCTGAGACTTCTTCAGACTTCATCTCCACTTCAAACTCTGCAGTGATATGGGACACTTCTTTTGATGGTGACTTGCGGCCTCGGCGTTTTTTCTTGGAGGAATCGCACTTGAGGTTCACAAAGGTCACCTGGCAGTTGTCTTTACAGGGGAACTGACCTCCTTTGCATGAGAGAAGAAACACGGGGAAGAAATCAAGTAGCAAAGTAGCACGTGACAGGCTAACAAGTGATATCCTACTGGATTGTCATGAATGCAGTGACAGGCTTCATAACATTTCCTGTGTGTTGTTAAATACCTCCTTCTCCAGGCAGTGCTGGGATTGCTCATTTTGCTATGAATGCAGAAGGCAAAAGCACAGCCTGGCAATGCTCAGCTGCACAATGGTGCTTCCAATGCCTAAAACTGCCCAGCCCTTTTCTGCATAAGGATTAAGGATTGGAAAGCTCTTTACAGAAATTATTTTAGATCACAAATACTATAAACTATATCTGATGGCTGAACAAAGCAAGAGAGTAAATTTCATAAATGTATGAGAATGTCAGGCCTGGGCCTCTAAAAACTATTAGTGGATATTCCATCTCTTTCAGAAGTGACAATCATCAGACAGCAAAGGTTTTAAAAGGCTTTGATTATGAGGTTATGAAAATATATTGAAAGGTTTTATCTGAGCAGGAATCGTAGTTTGCCACAGGTGATGAAACTTCCAGGTCAGGGAAGAAAGAGAAGTTTGTAGCACTCAAGCCATCAGAAGGATTTCATTCCAAGAGTGTAGTTATACTATGTAATCTTACTGTTAGACTCAGAGGTCAGATGACATAATAAACACAAAGCAAAGCAAGCAAAGGACAAGGACATGCATCCAAGAAACACATTCCCATAGTGATTGTATGGACCAAAAAATTTGACTTCTATGACTTTAAAAACGAGTCTGATAATCACATTTTATTCACAGGGTAAGCATCTTGATGACTAAGACTTAAGTCAATACTTGTAAAATGAGAGATACAAATGTGTAGATTGCGGGGTAAAGGTGAAATATGAGTCTAAATTTTAAAAATAAAATCTTTAAACTATTCACTTTTTCAAAAAATAGCTGTTTTTACTCTCCTCTGTTCAGGGCTCATGTAAGATTTTGCTAGTGAAAGTGGTGGTAAGACAAATTTACAACAGAGAATGCATCACCATTAGATTTTTAGTGTAAGCTGCTAAGTTGCTTTAAGTAGCAATTTAACTTTTTAAATACAACATTTTGGTTAATGACACCTAAATATTATAAATGTTTTTTCTAATATCAGAACTACTTCCTCTTTCATAACAAAAGATCTAAGGCTGTGTAACATGAGATTTTCATTATAAACTTCCTTCTTTGGGGTTGTCTTTGGAGTTACAATAGATTACTAATCCAGCATAAACCAAAAAAAGAATAGCTTTTGTTTTCTTTTAAAAACCTCAATTGGGAAAACCAAACCAAACCAAACCAAATTGACATGGTTTCACATAACTTTGCATTAGTCACAGTTTTTTGTCTCAGGGTATTTCTGCCATTATCAAGGCCAGGAAAAGGCCAGCTTAATTCCAAGCTCATGTACTTTTGAACAAAGATTTTTCAAAGCAACTGGTGAGTTTTTCAGCACTCAAGATCCAAACACAAGGCACTGTTCAACCACAGTGGGAACCTTGGCCTTAACTTAAATTCAGACGAAATATGTAAATGATCGATTTTTTCCCTGTCTGCACCATGAAAACAAAGCACGCAAATGAACAAGAAAACAAATAAACAAACAAACAAACAAATTAAAGTGCTGTTTACATGCTGGAAGAAATCACCTACCTGAAACAGCCAGCTTCCCAGAATCTTTTGGTTTGTCTTTGCTGCGAGGCCGTAAATGGCATTTTGCATCTTTGATTTTAAAACGAGCTTTCTGCTTAATTGGAGGGGCTAGGGAATCTGTTAATGTAAAGTAAAAATCTACCATTGAGACAGAAATTAAGCGAGATCTGGAACTTATTTTTAAAAACAGTCTCCAAAGCTTTCTTGTGATTTAGAAAAGAGGAAGCCTAAGAATTACACAGCTTGTACAAGTGGGTCCATTTCCACAAGTTCATTTTTTTAAAGTGAGTTCCTACCCTTGGGCCCAGCCAGGTCAATGAATGTGCTAGTACCATGCTTGCTCTGCACATCTTCTCAGATTTTGAGTGAATTTGTCTTTTACTATGAGAAAGATTAATTCCTCCCTTTATTTTTTTCCTGGGGTCTCTGTGAAGTCCCATGTTACTTGTAGTTCTGCTCCTGCTAGTGCCAGTAAGGTTAATTTAGTGGAGCTATGCTGTTGGCAATTGAAAACCATCCAAAGGAGCTGCCTCTATTGCAGTCTGTGGCTTGCAAGCTTTATCCCTCAGGTGTAAACCCAAGGCAGGTTTCACAGTCTTGTTTTAAAGGCTGCTATACAGTCATGCAATGAGTAGAAAATGGAGCTGCTGGCTGATTTCCTCACGAAGTCTCTGAGTAAAAGACTGGCCTGGCTGTCACCTGCCAGCTGCTTTGGGATGCCTGCTGGCCCTTGGCAGAAGGTGGAGGGTGGTCCCAGGTGATGCCACAGCATGGGTCCCTCTTTCCTTGGTAGGGCTTTGCTGAACCAGGACTTTAGAGGTGGCCTGATCCTGTGCCACAAGCAGGCACATCTGCTGCTAGGCTGTGCCACTCCACAGCACTGTACCACCCAGCATATCCCATATATATAAGAAATACATAGAGAACTGGAAAATGGGAGAGAAGTACAGCAGGTATGTGTAAGGTGGGCTGACTCTTCCTACCTGCTGCATGTTGTTTCAGCCGTTTCTAATTTTGCCAGGCATCAAGTTTTTGTGGTGGGTTTTTTTTTTTTTGCTATCAGCTTTCATAAACATTTGAAATATCTGCAAAAACAGTCCAGCCATTTTTGAGAAAAAGGTGCATGAAATGCAGTATTTTCTCACAGAAGTCCCATAACTTTTTATGGGGGGATAATCTTTTACCCTTGCAGTAGGGGAAGGCTGTGCTCCCATGGGAAGGCTTTGCAGGGGAGGGCTGCAAAGGGAACCCACCCTTGTGCTACTGCTGGGTCCCTCTGGCTCACTCCCTATCCTGGGAAAAAGTCCCATTTTGATATGCTCACTATTGCCTTGCCAGACTATGGAAAGCAAATATTTCTAAATATTAGTCCTTTTTGAACATATCTCAAACCTGCAGCACTCCCACACTGACCCACCAACACAACGCTGCAGCCCCACACACCCCACCCTCAAGGAGAGGCTGCAGAAAATGAGTGTGTGCATAAGGGAATATTGGCTACCTTTGATACCTCAAGATTTTTGCTTTTTATACATTTTCAATATATTTATAGCTTTGTAGACCATTAATATATGGTTATATAGCCTGGTATTTTTCCTACCTTTTCTCTTAGATTTTAGAATAATAAGCTAACCCTACTAATACATACTTGGAATTCTGTTTAGCTTTATTCTTAATAAGAGATTTCCTGACAAGGACATCTTATTTTCTACCATAATTTAAGAGACATAATAAGAGAAGAGAGCAAAGAAGCCCCAAGGGGGCTGACCCACGGGTGGGTTACTGAGGTAACTGATTTCCTATTGGACATCCCAGCCACATATACTAATTAATTAAACTTACAGAATTAGAGAAATCCTTTACCACATGTGCACAGAGCCATATTTTGTGCACCTGAAAGCTTTCATTGAAGATTTACTTTTTCATCTTCCTACTTTATTGCAAGAATTACTTTTTTATATTACACCGCTTCAACTCTGTTGCAAGGCTTTTCCTTCTGTTATTAGGCAACACCTTAACCCTTGCCTAACCTAATGAACGAGCCTGATGTCCTGCAATCCCCCGAGGTCCATGACCTCCCTCCCGGGCCCAGGACAGGGGAGCAAGCAGGGCAGACCCACCTGAGCAGCTGGGCAGTGTGGAGTTGCGCCTGGGCTGCACCTTGCCTTGCTGCACGGGGACACCGCAGCTCAGCGTGTAGCTGTTCTCTGAGTCTGGGGGACAGAACACAGTCAGCACATGGGCAACAGCCTCACAAACTCGAGGCTTCAGCTTCTCAGTGCCACTAAACAATGAGATATTTTAAGTGCTGAACTTGGATTTTAAGTGGCTGAAATACTTTGCCAAAAAGCTTCAACACTTCACTGTGTTGAACTTTTTGACGGCAAAGTTTGTTTCTTCCAGCACTGGAATGATACGTTTCATAAGTGATTTGGCACAAGGTTAGCTGTGCACAAGTAAAAAATATTTTGTATTTGTCCATGGCAAAATCCTTCTGCTTCCCTGTAATTTAGAAAATAAACCATGTATTTCCATAATAATTTTAGCTTCAGGCTCCAACAGAACTTATTGGCAAAAACAGAAATAGCATGCTTAGAACCATAATGGCGTTTAGAACCATAATGGTGTTTAGAACCATAATGGTGTTTACATATTACAGAGCTAAAACTCTGTCTTGGTACTTACAATTAGAGAAATGCATGTTCCACTAATATCTCCTAAATTGAAAATAAAGTGTGAATAAAATGTTAGCTTGACTGCATATAATGCCAAGGTTAAATGTGAAAGTAGACATCCAAAGATAATCCTGTGCTAGAACATCTATGAAAAAGCAATAGCAATCCCCTCCTTCTTCCCTGCAAAACTGTGAAGATGAAAACTACCAGTAGCAAATGGTAAAAAATAAAAAAAAGGAGGGAGCGGAATGAAATGCCCAATTTTTTGTAAATAATACTCAGCTGGACTGAGTTAACCACCACGTTAGCCAGGATGGTGCAGAAAAAAATTGTTATATATTGAATTGCTGTGACAAAAGGGAAGACAAAAATGAACAGTTTATTTTAGTGAATTCCTGTTACTTTTTAATACAAGCTTTTTGTTAGAATTTTCCCACCCTCTCAACTGACATCTCAAATTAAACAATGAAGGACCAAACTTCTCATGTGGCGTTGACAATCAGCTCTTCTTGATTTAACTTATAATGAGGTTTTGCTCATTTACTGTTGTCCATAACAAAAAATGAATGCAAGAATCATCAATACATTAACAGAGAAAAGTCAGTAAGTCATATCCCAGACGAAGAGGACAAATAATTTGCACAAACCTGGAACAAAAAGAGTATTGGATGGGCATGACAGGAAGCAGCTCTCTATGCCTCCTGTCTTACTGCATACTAGCTGAGCCTTGGGAGCTGTTTTGGCATTTGGGAGACATTTCACCGTATCTGAGGAGAAAAAAAAAAAGAAATGTAAAACAACTGCACACTGCCCAACCCAGGAACTTGTGTGCACACTTGGATACAATTGTGAGAAAAGGCAGGAAGTGGCAAAAACCATAATGACAGATAGAACTACTTCTGAAATAAGCACAGATAAAGGGAGAGCATCTGGATTGAGATGTTGAGCTCATACTTGAAAACGAAACTCCCTTCACATTTTTAGACCTAAACTCTAGATCTGTCTTTCTCTCCTATCCTCCATGTTGGGATCTTTGTGCTCTATGAGCACAATTCTGCATCTTGATCTCAGAAGCAATAGGTAGCACTAATCACCTGAGATGTCCTTTCTTTGATTTGGAGGTACAGCTCTCTGATTTAACAGACCAACTACAACTGTGCACAGCGGTCTATTTACTTAGATGACCACTAAAATGGTATTTTTTAATTCTCTAACTCCCACTGACTTTTTAACTTTAGCTCCATGATTTATCTTCTGGGGCTAGAAAACTTCCCAGCCAGGCAGAGGTAAGGCAGCAGATGCTAGGATGGAGATGGATAGTCCTGCTGGCCCTTTCAGACACTGCTGAAATGCCCCAAACAATGCTAGAAGGGACCCTGTGCCACACACACAGAGATCAGAGAGCCATTTCTTATCAGTGCCTACAGCATGAGGCACTCTGCAGCTCATGTGAAGGAAAATTCCAGCTTCTCCTCTTGGCTTCATGGCAGGATGAAGACAGAGCACCCTGTAGATCTCACAAGTGACTCTTCACACTTGGGTAAGGAAGTGCTTGTGTTTCAGCTGAAAACATATGAAGTTGTTGTTAATTGTTGGAGCAGTCTCTGTGTTTCACCCTGAGAAGATGGTATGACACCGATAATCATAAACCTGTTTTTATTTTAATTTTGGATTGGAGTGTTACTTAAGTACATCTTTTCCCTCACAAATGATGAGGCTCATTCTTGGCTGCAGCTGGCACATGCCACCACTTCCTGCAGGGAGGAAGCCTCACTGATTCCCTCCTTTCCCCAGAGGGTTCACCTCTGCACTGTCTGCTGACCAAATGCAGCTGGGCACCTCTTCAAGCAGCTTTTTCACACTGCAGCAGCTACTTACATCTCAGCCAGGTGGCTGTAGGGCAGATCTTGCTTCAGCCCCACAGAAATGCTGCTTCAGGTACATGATTTTTCTCCAACTGTTTCTTGCTACTTCTTCCAAATCTGCTCACCTTAGAAGACATTTGTTTTTCTCACTGGTGACTGTAGTACTGTAAATGTCTTTTTTCCTACCTGTCAGCTTGCCAGCAGATGACACTGAGGTAGGGGTTGCTTCTGAAACCAGAGCTGTAGTAGCTAGACTGATTTGGGTCTACCAGGGCTTGGCAAAAGCCCACAAAAGCCATCATGAAACTGAGCAGTTCCAAAGCAGTAGCTAGCATGAGTATTGCCTGACTTGGTTTGAGTGCAGAGGAAGAGTCCCAGCAGCCTCCAGCTAGTTTGTATTCCTGGCCTCACTGGTCATGAAATATAAACATACACAAGTCCCATAAATGTGCCTGATGTTCACATTTCAGATATGGGAATAGTCATCCTGAACTTATCTCCCTCCTAAGTCTTCTATGTTGCTCTGGTGGCATCTTTAAAGAAACTATTTCCTTGGACTGAGGAGGCAACAAAACACAAAGTGCCACTGCTGAGCAAAAGAGGATTTTGTTACTGCAAATATCTCCAAATCATGCAGTATTCAGGATCGATAAATATAATTTTTCCACTTTTTACTGTGCTTTTGTAACAATTTAGAATATAGTTTCCTCTCAAAAATGTTGGTAATAAAGGCAGGTGATCAGCAGAGAGATGATGCTCATTGTAAGCCTCACTGAAGTCACCAACTACTAGAGTGTGTATCAGTAGACAAGGGTGTTTTATTTCCATCTTCCAGCTGAGCATTATAAATAATGAGGAGAAATTTACAAGCTGGAGAATATTTTCAATACAGCAACATTCTTAGTAGGCTGAGAGGGAATACAGCACAAGTAGTCTAACTTCATAGCAGACCTTCAAAAATTTTAGCCCCGGCTGCTAACTTACAAAATCCTTTCCAGAGGAATAACTGGTATATGGCAAGGAAGACCTAGTGGATAACTAAAAACCACAGTGAGCTATTTCTTGCTATCACAATGATTAGTTCTCTACATAGCAGGGAGGGTAATAGCCAGGAAATCAGGAAAGTGAAGCACTTAATTATGCTTAGGAAGAACATAGAGGCAAAGGCTGGAATTCAGCCTGAGGCTCTCACCCCCCACCCCACCTTAGTTATAAAGTGCTTTCTATACTGCTGTATCCATGTAAAAAATGCCACAATTGCATGATCACACGAGGCCAGTGTGTACTCTCTGCTACAGATTAAGCAGTGCTTTCTCTCAGTAAGTGCAGAGATTTCCTGAAGGGAGATCCCCCTTTTTCTTGTTCTGTCTTGCTCCCAATTAGATATTAGGCGTCATCCCCAAATGTGCCTATGAGAAGTTATTTGTGGCTAAAAAATTTGTCCATGAAAAACCCCAGGTATGCCATTCTCATTAAAAATATAAAAAAAACCCCAGAATTAAAATCTGACAGAAAATAATTTGGCTGTAACGATGATCAAAATTTGCTGTGCTTCACATAAGACTCCAGAAAAAGATGTTATCTCTTTAAAGGATACAGAAATTCAGGTCTGCCACAAAGTGGCACTAGCAGCATGTACCAAATTTTTCTGGTCTCAGGATTTGTGTTCATTTTGATTAATACTTTTGACACAGCTAGTGTCAGTACATTATATGACGCAGGACACCTTTAGAGATAACTTGAAAAATTGGGGTGTGGTTCTGTGATTGTAGGTATTAGGTCCTACCATGTCCTACTTGTAAACAGTTAAATATTTTGAACATTCTAAATTAGTGTTAGAGGTAAATAGAGTTATAGCTGACATTACAGTGATGGGAAGAAGGCAAATTAAGGACAAAAGTATAAAATATCTAAGATGATGATGATAATAATAATAATAATAATAATAATAATAATAATACTGTGAATAGACTCTTAAAAAACCCCACATTCCACATGAATAAAATCGAACATATTGCTCATTCGCTAATCAACCTTGAATTGTATCCTAGCCCATGGAGCTCCACAGGATCAGGTATTATCTGAGTTTATAAAACAAATTTGGGGATCTAGATTGTGAGAATGCGGCCTCTCTCAAACAAAACCATGGGCTTTTGCACCATCCTGGAGAACACAGTCACCACAGTCACCTCTGAGTCACACCTCCACACTTACCAACACAGTCCTTTTTATTCCAGTGCAGTTTCTTTCCAGGTGGGCAGACACACTCATAGCTCCCCATGGTATTAAGACATCCGAAGTCACAGCTACCATTGCTGATGCTGCATTCATCAATATCTGGAAACATATTTAAAGTTGTGAAGAGTCTTAACCATGTGTATACACATATACTGTACACGACTTGCATAAGGAAACCTATTTCTACTGTATCTTTTACATTGCAGCCCATATAAACATGTATAAAGACAGACAGTGCCGAACAACTTTAGCGCATCTTGCATGTATTTGTCCTTAAACCCTACAGCTCCTACTCTCCCAAGTATTTATGCATTTGATACAGTTTACTTGCCAGGACCAGTTACACTGAAATTCTTGGATACAAAACATGCTCAAAACTCTCTGCAGCATCTGAACAATAATGGACAATACAGAAAAATGGCATAAACCTCTGTGAAAACAAGGAAGTAAGTTCTCCACAGTGATTCTCAGAGTTTCTTTTAGAAGTTCAGGTGAAGGGGGAAATCATGCTTTTGAAAGAAACTAAGCAGTTAAAGTGTAGTTCAGACTTCCACTCCTCAAATAAAAATAAAAGGTAAAGCTTGCAAAAAAGTGAAGAAATTATCACATATGTTATCATTGACATTCCACAGAAAATCTTTCAACTTTTGATACATCAGAAAAGTATTTAGCCAGTATGAGCTGTATCCTTTTTAATCCATGCATTCAGCGTTCATATACTCATGCCAACATGGTCAATCTCTCATCTCCTCTCTTTCCACCACCAGAAAGAACATTTATTTATTTAATGAGCTGAAGTGACACCAAATCAACAGGAGACACACAGAATTCCTGATGCTCTGGCTCACTGGTAGACCTCAAAATTAAGCATGCAAGGACTAAAACTAATGACCAGCCTAAGTGGTAAAACGTGGGGCCTGGACAAGTCTGGATTCAGAGTTGTGGTTTTGTATCTGCTCATAATGGAAAAAAGCAGGAGGTTTGGATCCAGTTATGTTTTTACTCAAAGTTCAGCACTGAGTATTTCCAGTGAGAGTTTTGGTCCTTCTTCAGTTTTACTGAAAAGACTGAAGCTGAACTGAGGCTGAAGGTTATTTAAAGACTGAGGCAGAACCCCAAACTTTGAGGCTTTCCATAAATTAGTGCATTAAGTAATTAAGAAATTAACAGTGAAACTGAAGATCAGTCTCTCTACACCTCATATAACACAGGTCCCAAAAACTTTCAGACTCTGAATTTGCTTTCACAACTGCTTTCAAGTGGGGTCTGTTCCCAAACTGCTTCCTTAGATGGACTCTTATTTCTCCTCCTGCCTGCCCCTGCTCTTATCAGGAATTCATGTGATGCTTCTCCACAAAAGAGAGACCAGCATACACCTCCTACACCTTTCTCCCAAAAAAGAAGCCATGCAGAGATACCATTAGCAGTGTCTCATGTTGACATTACAAAATCAGGTGAACTCAGCCCTCAGAAGTGAGGGGCCAGCTTCTGTTTCTGCTACATTAGCTGAACCTCTAATTTGGTCACTGTGGTAATGCTACACTTCAAAAATATCCCTCTCCTAGATAATGAAACATTACAGCACCAATTCTTTTCAGTCATACCAAAAAGGTTGAAAGCAGGTCCCCAGAAGATGGGAGGATGATCCACCACAACCTTCTGTTATGCATTTTGCAAGCAGTTTATGTCACAGATTGGACAAATGGACAAATGCCATCAGAGCCAAAATATGTAAACTTTGCGAAACTGACTTCTTTCCCCGATTCTCTTTGTTGCCAGTCATATGATATCTCCCTGCAGTTGTGAGTAACCTCAGTCCTGAGGAAGCTCTGATCAAAAAATTGTGGGACATTGGTTTTCATTGGTGTTTTTCTCTTGGGAATACTTCAGCAAATTTGAGACACTTAAATTTTAGTCACACCCAGCTCATGATATTTTATGTTTATTTTAACATTATGTCTTTATCATCTTGAGTTATAAAACCTTAATCTAAAAGAATGAGTGGCTCTGTAAACAGTTCCCAAAGCAAACAAACACACACATAAGCAAAACTCAGTTTCCAAACCTCCACAATGCGTCAGTCCGTACAAGGTGTAGCCTTTGTTGCAGAGACACTCAAAGCTTCCAGGGTAGTTAATACAGGTGTGGTCACAGGTCCGTTCAAAGGAGCACTCATCTATATCTGAATTAATAGAAAAAGCATTAAGAAATCAGATTTAACCAGGTTACACTGAATGACTGGATTTTCTCACTGGGTTCGCTTTGTTTGTTACTGATAAAGTATCATTTGCCATCCTATGTAAAATCGGAATAAAATATCATTCTCATTCCTCTAGTGCCTTGTAAAGAAAATACTCACAGGTACATGGAGAAGAACAAGAAGAGATAATTTGGTAAAACACGATGAAAATTGTATTATGTACATTCCCCATTAGATGGCAACCTTTAACTTCTGATCATACTGACCCAGCAGCGCTGGGAGTATGGAGCTTTTGGGGAAGTTAGTAGCACAAAGGAAAAAAGATTTAGGTTGAATCAAGCAATTCCCTCTTTCACTGACTAATATGCTGACATCCTGCCCACCAGAACAGGGAGTTGCTCCCAGACTTCTGCTCTGCCTTACAAGACTGTACAGACTTGAAGAGGGTAAGCAAAACACTGCTGGAGAATAAGGCCCCACAAGGAATGGACAGGTTGCACCTAGCACTGAAAATATTAGTCCAAAGCCTACATTCTACCCAACGCAAGAAAATATGACTTCTTCCCATTAAAAAAAGTCAGGCAGCTCTAATCATCACTGCTTAGTAATGTGAAACCCTGGTTTACACTGTCTCTTCCATCTAGCAAGCTATGAAAGCACATTGCTTCCATTGCAAGGCTTTGCTGAACGGTGCTGTGGAGGTTGATTTGACAGCAGCCCTGACAGAATGGACTTGCTGAAAACATTAAAGGTACCTTAACCAGCAATCTGTGCAAAATAACACTTTTGAGTTAATTTTATTGTTTTTTTAAAAAAATTCTCTTCTGTGATTAATTTTTCTGCTTACAGGTCAGAAAATTGACTACAATGACATTATTTGAGAGTGGTCATTTCAACAAATCTCATTCCTCCAATATTACTGAGTTATAAATGAATGGAATAGCATTCCTATGACAATTTCCACATTTTCTAGAGCTAGTTTTTAAGAACAAAACCTGAACAACAACATTGCAAAATGTAACTTAGACTTTCATATTGTATATGCTTGGAAAGCTGTTGGTATTTGAAAATACTTGAAAACTCACCATGCTTCAGGAGATTCTAACCCAATTCCTATATCCAAGTATTATTTACATAGTTTTGACATTTCATTAAGCATTCTAGGTCTGATTCTGTTATTATAAATACAAATACTTACCTTTCTGAACTATAAAATTAAGATTTCCTGTATTTGTACACAAACCCAAATCTGTGTGAGAGTTTATGCAGAAATTTAGAATGACACATACAGCTACATTTTATATGACCTAAAACTTTAAATGTTTCAAAATACTCGCACAAAATATAATTTACAATGCGGGAAGCAACTGTTCAGGCAAATGCATAACATAAAATGAAATAAACATGAAGAAGAGAAATCTGTGTTGTCCAGTTTTATGTGTGCATAACAATCACTTTCTATGATAAAAGTCACAAAAAGATGACAACTGAGTTTTTTCTCTTTCTTACACCGATTTAATTTTAAGTGAATTTAAAAATCTGTTTTTAAATATCATCATTTGAGTTCTGAAAGTAATTTCTTTTTAAGGTTTCTTTTATAGTCTTGAAAATGTGCAGCTTTTGAATACACATAAATGGCAAACTGTTTCATCTTTCTCTAAATAAATACACAAAGTAAAATCATTTGGGAATGAACACTGCAGCTATAGTTTAAAGGATTTTTAATGCCTAAGAAGCCAAATCATACATCATGGTTTCATTCATGTGTAACCTCATTCACTATGTGGAATTGCAGGAAATTTACAAAAGCAGTTCATTTTCTGGCCTCTGACTTACCTTGGGATTCTCTTTTTCAGAACCAATTTAGTATTTATGTACAGTGATCTTATCCTGCACTAGTTTAGTCCATAGTGTTTATGCACTGCTTTCCCATGCAGAACTGTGTGTTGCTGCATATATGGCTTGGTTTTTTCCCGTTAAGGAGGATGTACTTTCCTCTTTGCCCGTGGAAGAACAGTCTGCTTGATGAGGTGACCACTGCTTGCCAACTACCACGCACTCAGGATGGCCAAATGCATTTCTGCTCCATAGCTTTTTTCACCCTTTAAACCCCTCTTCCCCCTCCTGCTGCTGCTCTCAGACACTCAGGCTGCTGAGTTCAGCATCCTGCTGGAACAAGGGAAGCCCCGGCACAGGCTCCCCTGGCTGAGCCTCAGCCCCGACTGCTCCTGGCTGAGGCAGGCAGGGAGGGACCCAGCTTTCTACACAATCACCAGTCCCCTGAGGAATTCAGCACTTGTCATAGAAAAGGCAAAAAAATGCACCACATACTCTTCATTACAAGAAACTGGTGGTGTGATACAGGATGCTGAAATCCTCCCCCCGCCTTTTCTTTTTTTTGAAACTTTGAAATCTGTACTCTGGATGATGTTATCCCCCAGGCTTCCAGGAACTTTGAAGCTGGCCCTCACACATCTGTGGTGCTTCACAATACCTCTCCATATTTAGCCTAAAAGGATGTGCTTATTTCCCACCACACTCATGACACAGGTGTATGTCACAAGACCCCACGGAGTTGGGAATTTGACCTTCACAGCCTGGGTTTCAAATCCTGCTTTACCACAAGAACAGGGAACAAACATGGGGATCTAAACCCTGTCTCCTCTGTACAAGCAACTCTACAAAATCTGGTAGCCTCATCTATTTAAGAGAAGTCAAAAAAATACAAAAGCAGAGATGTGGCAGGTTGCAGTCCAGTTCCCACCACCATGTATACACTTGAACACAAACATTTGGGAATTGTGTTGCTCTGAATTTTCCCCCTCCCACACCCCAAAATAAATACTTATAAATTAACTTCCTGGGTCTGAGGTACTCTTAAAATGATTTAAAGTTATTAAAATTTATTTTCTAAACTGTTTTAAGATAAAAAGTCAAAATCTTGTGGTTTTGAAGAACTGCGGTGGAAAACTTCAACTTAAAGGTGAAGTCCGTATTCTGTTTTTGGTTGCATTTGGCATAAATTCATATGCAGTCCAAGCTGTCTCTGAACATTTCAGATTTGCTAACGCACTTACCTGACATCAAACACATTTTTTAATTTCACTTAGCCAAAAATTCATGGCACATTCAACACTGTGATCAGCATAGGTGACTGTGTCATTTCAGCATATTGAGGTGTCTTCATAGCTGAGCTGTGTGAGGCTTACCGGGACTATGGGGCCAAATTCACTGCTAGTAGCACACAATTAGTTTCCTGCCAGCTTTTTTTAGGAATGCTAATGATACATATAAAATCTAAGAAAGAGCTCCCTACTTTACAGCAGACCCAGTGGAAGTGCCAAGTTCAGGGGTTGGAGCAGGTGACCTCTTAAGGTCTTTCCCAGGCTCCACCATGGATTCATGGGTACCCTGGCAGTGCCAGACTTCTCTTCATGGTGTTCTGTGCTGCTAACAGCTCTCGTTCCAGTCCCTGTTTCCAAGACATCAAGGCATCATCTCAGGCTGAATAAAGTCCAATATCTCTTTTAGCATGTTCTCACCTCCAAAGAGAATGTTTGAGGAAACACTCCCTAATTTTTCCCTAGAATGGATTCAACTAGAAGAGATTGTTCAATGGTTTAATTAAAGAGCAGGATTTCCCTGGGGTTTTGAGGGAAGCAATTTTTGGCAGTGGTGACCACGCTCGATAATATTAGTTTGGCTAGGTTCCTATTATTTCAAGTCAGCATTTCGATTTTATTTTGGATTTTTCAATCATACGTAGCTTTTATTTATTTTTTTTCAGTTCAGGCTTTACCATGTCAAACAATCCCATAATGATCTTTATTTTTCTTGAATGTAAAGTTTTTTAGTGGGTGTCAGATTGTCAGTACTGCAAAATAAATTCTTTTGTCTCCAGAAGGGAGCTACCAGAGATCAAATTTCTTCTAAGTTTCCTCAAACAGATGTGTCTCAAAGGTGACCTGAGGGAGCAGGGAATAAAGCAGCTCATTTTCTGTGCTCATTCAAGTCCCTGCCCTTTCCACTGGTGCTGCCACTAGACTCCCAATTACAGTAGCACCAATTGTTCTGTGGTTTGTGTGATGTGGACACTGACTCATTTGTGGACGTAGAGCGCAGGGCACCCAGAAGCCATCACACAGCGGTGATTTTTGCTAAGCCTAGACCTGAGCTGGATTCCAACCAGCAGCTCTGAAGTGAAAGGCTCCTTTTTGTACTCTGTTTCCAGCCCTCAGACACAGTACCCTGTACTCCTGATTGTCTTTGCTCTAAAATTAATTTCAGAGTAATTAAAAGGAACCAGTGATCAGGAAATCAAAGCACAAAGCAGGACATTTCCAAAAAACCATTAGCATTACAAACAAGCAGACCAGCACCAGACACACCAGGTGAGACTGGTAAATCTGGCTGGATTTAGGGGTGTTTTAGAACTGCAGACTGATGTAGGAATTGCTGTGACTCCCTGATAGAACACACGTATGCAAAACTCACTTGCACAGAGGTGAGATTTGAGGGTTGTGGTTAGAGAACTGAAGAATTAAATGCCCAGATTCCCAATTTCACATTAAAAATCTACTTCAAAAATGAGGACTGTCCTGTCTTTGTTTTCCTTAATGTAATTTTGTTACTATTAAGAACTATTAAGTGAAGAAATTGTTTATAGAAAACTAATGGACATCTCAACAGCTTTTCTTGAGACATACACTAAGTAGCTAGGTCAAATTATGAAACTGGGAGCCTCCTTCCAAAACACAGGCCATATATCATAATTGCATAAGAGTTTAGTCTTGAGCCTGGAGTATTTTTCACCTGATCTGAAAATAAAAGCACCAAGGAGAGATCACTGTTATTTGGTGGTGCTATTTGTGCTACAGATCACTGTTACTTGGTGGTGCTACAGAGAGCAAGACAGGAGTGGCTCAAAGGCAATCAACAAAAGCTATAACAGCCATGAGGAACAGAGTGCAGACTGTAAAGGT